CTCAGAGAGGACGGACACTATAATTTACATTTTTTTACTATGTTCAATCTGAATTTACTTTAAAATGTAACAGGTTAATTTACCCCTTTTAGAAGTGAAGTTATGGTAATTTGTTCTGGGAATGTCATTTTTGAGCCTGAGGCCTGAAAAACAGGCTTGGGGCTTAACAGATTTAAGCACATAACCTTTATACAACACACAACACTACTTCATTAGATTTAGCCAACATAACTATCGCTCGTCTGCAGCTGGTGCAAAATGCTGCAGCAAGGCTTTTAACTGGCACATGGAAATATGACCACTTTTCCCCCATTTTGGCTTCGCTCCACTGGCTGGCAATACATTTTAGGAATCATTTCAAAATCCTTTTATTTGCTTTTAAATCCCTAAATGGCATGACCCCACCATATCTTTCTGAGCTGCTACACCCTTACACGCCCACCCGCCCTCTCAGGTCAGCAGATCAACTGCTCCTGAATGTGCCCAGAACCAGGTCAAAGCTCAGAGGGGGCCGTTGCTTCTCTGTAGCGGCTCCCACACTGTGGAACGATCTGCCCATGCATATCAGACAGGCCTCCACACTGTCTGCTTTTAAATCGCTTCTTAAAACCCACCTCTTCTCCTTAGCGTATTAACAACTTGTTGTGTTGCTTTTATTGCTTTTAAATTGTCTATTGTTTTTACTTGTTTAAAGTGCTCTATAAATAAAGCTGTATTGTATTGTAACTACTTGGTTTAGGTTACATTAATTCAGTTATTTTAACTAGACTGAAGAACCTAATTTAAAATAAGGCAATATTTGCTTTTGGTGTTCTCAAACGGGTCTGTGGGCCCTGGGAATATGTGTGTAGACCACAACTCATACTGTAATTGACTTGTAGTTTCCCTGGTAACTCCTACACATTACGTACTACCACAACGTAATGCATTGTGTAACCTATTTCTGTCAGGCTGGCCAGGACTGACCATACACACTTAGTACAGACTAAGCTAGCAGAAGTTAGGAACATGAAATATACAAATAAATGAATAAAGTACGCAAAATTATCAATCGGTAAGTGTTGGGGCTTACATGTTTAATATTTTTCGTAATAATTACATATTAATACATATTGAGGACATATGTACACATTAAAGGCTTGTTATTTAATGTGATGCTTAACAGCTGACTGTATCTCAATATGGTCAAAACTCTTACATTAAACTATTGGCAAAGCCTTTCTGGCCCTAAAAGAATTGTGAGAATGAAAGAAAGGAGAGGGGGAGCATCAAATATGCTGCAACAAATGCAAAAATAACCTGATTAGATGTGACATTTTATCATGAATTTCAAACTAACCTCAATCAAACCTCACACAATGCATCTTAATTTCTCTTTCACCCCAGTTGATCATCTACTCTCCCTTTCATGTTTTCCCACAGCGAAACACTTAACATGCTGAAGGAGAACAGAGGTGAAAGCAGAACACCACCGGAATGTATTCTCTATCATAAAAAAGCAATGAGATCTTAAGTTATGATTGTAGAAGCAGCAGATAGCATCATAATTACATCTCTTACTTTGTTGAGTCATATGTCTAATGAGTGTGATAGGGGTGATGAAATATATAGTAACTAGAAATCTATAGAGCTATCTTTGGTTCACCTGAGGCCGAAGGTCAGAAATAACAAACACTCTTATCGAAGGTGGTCTTGATTATCTTTTTAATTGAAATGCAGAACTAACTAGAACAAAACAAACACGCGGACCCTTGTTTGCTCTGATGTCTAACCCATACACACACACCACACACACTTTCTCATGTTTCTTCATATAGACACAAACACTATATAAAGGTCACTCCCAGGAAGAGATTATGAATACACAAGATGTATCTAAGGTCTGAGATCAGTGTATATGTTGTATGATCACAGATTGCTCTGTACACCGAACATGTTTTATGTTTGCATCTATCTGGCCAACTGGGTTATGAAAATATCTCCTTTAGCAAGTGGGATGGATAGTAATTGATTTTTTCTGATATGTTATGGATGATTAATCAGCAATGAAAATAATTGTTAGAGTCCTAGTGCTAAGTTCATCCATTGTACAAACAAGTTAGTTTTCAGAAACATGTAAAGTCACCATCGTGACGCGTGCTGTACTTCGGATTTGATTTGAGTTCCATTTAATCTTTTGATGCCTCTTCATGTTTCTGTGTGATGTCATGTTGTCCTGAGAATAGTTAAGTACATTCTCAAAATCAATGTTTTTATTATTTTGCCGATTCACATTATTGCAGATGCTGAAAGTCACCTGTATTGATGAAAGCAAAAACCTTTTAAAATTCAGCCGATACAGACCAAGGAAATGTATCAGCCTTTCTCAGCGCTTGAAATGTGTGAATGTTGGAGTTGCAACAAGCACTTAATCATTTATAGATATTTGTTTGTACCAACAGCAGAAAAACACAATGTTGAGCAATAATGTAACTACACAAAAGTATGTCTCATTGGATCTCTGCCTACTGTACATATATCGTTAGTTGAATGGCAAAGTAGTTATTTAGTTCATTGTTTTTAATTATAATCAACACATTCCTTTACCAAAGACCAGAACCAGCAATGACTATACATTTTGCTAGCAAATTATTGCAAATACCTTTGCAGCCTTATCGCTTATACCCCTCCACAGTACAAACACCATAAAAACCCACTTAAGGGTCCCACTAGGCGACATATCCCTTTATCACAATAAACAACTAATGTAGTTAGTGCCTATATTTTCATACGCAGGCGTCATTGTGGAGGAGGCTTTACGGTGCAGTTCTTTGTTTACCCTGCTTAATGTTTATTGTGATGAAGGAATATGGCTTTTTTATGTGTTTATATACAACGGATGCTAATTATGTAAAAGGATATGGTAACTCATGATAGTTTTCTATCATTTGTTTCCCTTTTACTTGACACATTAACACTAATAACTATATTCTGGTCCTATTATGGCATTAAGTCATCAAATAGAAATTGAGGGGGAACCCTTGTCCACTACGCTCTTAATGTTTTGCTTTAAATGTGTGGCAATAATAAGGGGAGAACCGCTCCCTGCTTCAACATGACAATGGCCCCCGTTCATAAAGAAATGACAAGTTAATCATAATATATGATTAAACAATGTTTTGTTTTAATGAATTGAATGTAGCCTGAATTTGCACATGAATACCAGATAACACAAAATGGCTAAAAGTACCTAAACCTAATCAGCCAAAACATAGTAAATGGCTGACTTAACAGATGCTCTTGCGGTTAAAAAGGGAGCCAGGTTCTTAAATCTGGTGGAAAGCCTGAAACCAGGAGAGTGGAGGCTGTTTTATGTTATTGCTATATGTTCAGCAATCACAGGAGCTGCATTTTTCAAGGGTCCACATACCTCTACCATATGCTGCCTCCCAAAAGTTGCCTTTACCTTTTGCGCACATAATGTAAATAGTGACTTTTTAATTAAACTGTGTTCATGCCTTACTTTATTTGGGTGATATGTCAGAAGAAATAACAGGAACCAATACCTCATCAAAACATTTATAGCAGCAGCAGAAGAATAATCAATGGTAACGGGCCGATACACCTACAGTAGATATTTTGACAATGCCAGATGTTCAAAATATATGTTTGAATAAGGAACAGGCTTGGTGGTTTTCATTACTCATCATACTGCTTTTTTTTCCTCTTCATTCGCTGTGTGCTTTGATGTATATTATTATGTTAGTATTGATCATGGGATACTACAATGCTAATATCAATCAATCAATGATTTAGCTGGCTTGTGTCAGGATATTGTTAATGACATAATGCCTGGCAACACATAGCTAAAAGCCTCTTAATGGAATATCACACATGATAAAGAACAAGACCAGGAAAGAGTAGAAACCAGGAAAGGACATAAACTTGTCAGCCACATGCAAGTAAATGACCTTCATGTCAAAGTATGACAGTATACATTACATGGCAGAGAGGAGACAGCAGAGGAAAGGACACAGCAATGATTCAACTCCCTGATCCCACATGAAGAGTCTGCAGTCTGTTATCAGTGCACACATTAATGCACTTTCTTCTCTATTTCCTTTTCTATTACTACACACACACACAGACTGATTATCTCTGACAAACAGACGGATGTTTCCTCTATACTTTTTTACAAACACATCCGTAATAGATCCACACACTGTAATCTCTCAGAATTTTGCAAAAATAAATAGTTTGATCCCTTCATCTTTCCTTTAATGTGAATGCATCCAAGCTGTCGCCGTATAAGCCAGATGTTTGATTGATGGCTGTATCAGAGTAGGGTGATATTGCTTTTGTGTGTGTGTGTGTGTGTGTGTGTGTGTGTGTGTGTGTGTGTGTGTGTGTGTGTGTGTGTGTGTGTGTGTGTGTGTGTGTTGTGTGTGTGTGTGTGTGTGTGTGTGTGTGTGTGTGTGTGTGTGTGTGTGTGTGTGTGTGTGTGTGTGTGTGTGTGTGTGTGTGTGTGTGTGTGTGTGTGTGTGTGTGTGTCGTCTGTGCAAGGCTGGTCATGCTGAAAGGCTGTGATGCCTGTTAGTTGCAGACACCTCGAGGTGTCCTGCTGACCGTCCAGCAGTGGCAAGCTTTGATTGAATGTCCAGGAGCTCACCACTGAAAGTTAGGACATTATCGATTTCTTCCAAGACTGCTCTCCCTTTCTTTTCCTATAAAGGTTATGGCTCTCTTCGTCCTTGCCCGTGTGTGTGTGTGTGTGTGTGTGTGTGTGTGTCTTCTTCATACCTGTGTTTGATGTCAAGACAAAGTGGAAAGCACATCTCTGAGAGTTTTAAGGGTCTCAAAACGTTGTGTCTTTAAGTAGTAACAGCCACTGAATGTTTCAAACAGGAAATGTGGTTTCTTCCTCTCAGCAAGAAAAATAAGAAAAATCCCTGCACTCTTTTGTTTGTTTCATGACTGAGTAACTCATCCATCTGGGTCTCACCATCTGTCTTCCCTTTCAGAGGATACAACCTTCGAAGCAGGTGTGCGGGTGCAGATCCACAGCCAGGCGGAGCCCCCGTTTGTTCACGAGCTGGGCTTTGGCGTGGCCCCCGGCTTCCAGACTTTTGTAGCAACACAGGAGCAGAGGGTAGGTGTCCCTGACTTCCCATTCTACACAGTTAATAGCTTTTTTTAATCTCTCCTCCTCTTGTGCTGTTTTTCACTTCTAATCCGCATGTTCAGCTTATCGCTCAGAGATACAAAAAAAAAAAAAACCTCTATGATAAATGACTTGCCAAAAGAGGCATGATGGGATTGTTTGTATGCATGTGTGTTAGTGCTGTGTGTGTGTCGCAATACCCTCTAGACCCTTAGACCCCTCTGTGGTCTCTTGGGGATGATTGACTGACAAATGATATCTTTCCCCACTGTCGGTGGCTTTGACCTTGTTGGTAGAGAGGTGCTACACTCCAACTCAGCCCCACTCAATCATCCTGCAGCTTTGTATCCCATCACACAAGGCCACCATTAAAGTCTGCAGGTCTAACAGATATAGACAGCCGGAGGTATTTAATGCAAATAGCCTTTCCTCGTTCACCACAAGCTCCTGCTTCACAATGTTGTTTTTCTCTTCTCCATCCTATCTATTGGCTCGAGTTGAACATGTTTCAGTGAAGGTGTTTCGACACTGCCAAACTGAATGAAATCTCGATATTGTGACGGCTCTCAGCTGTGTCGGTTAAGAATCCATTTTACCAGGGATATTACTCCTGCCTATAACCGTGTCCATTCCTTTGTTGTTTTCCCTGCCTACCTATTTTATACCTCTTTTCTTGTTTTGCTCCCATGTTAAGCTTTTAAGAAATGTATTGCCTGGCCAAATAGCGGGAGCTGACTGGATTGCCATACTTAGACAGATTTCTGTCATTGCCTTCTCATTTTGCCTCCCCCCGCATTTTAATGCAGTGTCTGTTCCTTTGGCAACTGGGCTGTCAGTTTACTAGACCTTAAACCATGGTCACTTGGATACAATACTGACATATTAAGAACATTTTAAATGTCAAAGGCAAGAGAACTGCAGAGTCTGGTGATAGTTCTCTGTGGGTTCAATCCCGATGAGCAACCTCTTTCAAAAACTCCTTTGGTATTATGAAAGTTTCGATTATAGCCACTTAAAGTAATTGGGGTTACAGTCGACTTTCTCCAGAAGCTTGATTTCTTAATCATCATGTGAAGAACAAAACTGTTTTGCATAATAAGGGTAGGGATTTAGAGAATTTTTATTTCCCAAGCTCAATTCCTCCTGGGGAAAGAGGATTTGCCTAAACATTGGTTAGTGCATGACAAAGATTTTGGACCATGCTTTAGAATGAAAAATATGTTGTTTTTTAAGAAAGGAGCAAAAAATAGTGCTAAGATAAAATTTATTTTGAATACTATTGCAACAAATGAAAATAAATATTTACACAACATATAAATAAGTAAGAAACTGAGAACAGTAAAATAAAATGTGACAAATATGTTGATTTATTGTTTTCCACCGACAAGTTGTTAGTAGGGATTTACATTATCCAGCCTCACAGCCTCACAGCTGGATAATGTGTTCTCAATTGTATAAGTGAGTGACTGAAAATCCATTGTGAACCTCGCTTCACTTCCGCTCAGTGAAGTGCTGCGAGGCAGAGTCACCTGAGTGTTATAGGAAGGAGGAGATCTATCCAGTGAGGGTTAGGCCTCCTGGGTAATGAGCCTCCAGGGCTTCTATCTCTGTTCGCCTGTCAGCCCACTTCTGTGACTGACAGGGGTGAAGAGAGTCCCTCCTCTGCCTGTCTGCCTGCCTGCTGGGAAAACACTGCCCCGCTCCACAAACACACACAGTGGGGAACGTATTCAATTGAGCTAATTAATGCAGAACTGCACTTTGTATCAGAAGTCTGAGAAAATCCCTCCTGCTGCTGGATGTTCCCACCTGTCTTTTCAAGCTGCTTCTTCTGAAACCCGGAGGGCTCTTTCGAATACGTCCAAAAACAACCCTGATTATGACGATTGAGTTAAGTATCTAGGGCAGAGATTAGGTAAGGGGCCTTGTGGAAGGTGTTTTTTAAAGAAATGGTGATTACGGGATCTCTGTAATGATGCCAATCATTCTAAGTGTGAAAATTACTTTGACAGAGAGTTTAAATGAGCTAATTTGGGCTTATAATGTTGGACTTCGATCAAAGCAGCTCAATCAAGTTAGCTCAAGGCACAGAGCACACAGCCTATAGTTAAGGTTTGAATCAGTTTCACATGGAGACAGGCAATTTAAAAATATAAGCTCTCCAGACATAGAAATTACCCCTCTGTGGGCTTTTGACTGAATCTGAAAGGGCATGGTGTTCCGTTGGGTCAGAGAGCCATTCTTCCCAAGGATGAAAAAGTCTTAATTATAGCATTATTCCTTTGCTGCCTCTCGATTCTAGCGTAGTCTTTGTGTTTCAGTTTGGCTCTGCAGAGGGCTTTCATTTATCTTTGTAATTGTGTCTTCTTCTGTACACCTGTTTGATGTTGTGGTTCATTTCAAACCAGCACTCTTCAGACGACCATTACACAATGAAAAGTAAAAACCCACCTTGTTCTCAAATACACATTTTTTAACGATGTCCCCTGCCGACGAACTTGGAAAAGCCTAATTAAAGTATTGAGCTGGTACAACAGGGGGATGAAACGCTGATTAATAACAGGCCTCATCTCTTATTACATAGACCATAATTAGGTCAACAGGTTCTAGTGATATTGAGCTCCTTGGATTATCTGATTACAGAGAAATAATCGGATCTCCAATCAGCCACGTCTGACTATAATTAGGCCAGAAGTAGAGATTAGCTGAGGTGTGAAGGTGGTTGTAAAGGTCAAGGCTTCCTCAGAAGCTCTTTTCTTAAGTCCCTAATAAAATTAATAGCATCTGGATGTCGGAACTCATCACTAGTGCTTGCTGCTGACTTCAGGAAGGGTATGTTTAATAACCATAGGAGACATTGTAGCTGTGCCAAAAAAAGGCCAGAAGCTTTTGGACGCTGTAATATACAGCATGCTAGATTGCTGTTATACTATTATAGATTGTGTTTCAATCTTATCGTTGCACGTGTTGGTGAAATGATCTGAATACCTAAAGCATTAAACTCAGAAACACAGATACAACATTGCCTTAGAGGAAGGGCAGGGTTTCAAATTCTGTTAGTACCAACAAGTAAACTGAGGCCAAATTTCACCTGGCAGGATGTTGTGTTTTCGCCTCTTCCCCAAAAATTGCGCTGTTGGCAGAGGAAGAGGCCTCAGTTGGGAAGCATTGTGATGAGAATGAGGGGAACTGGGGAGCAGAGGGTGGTGGGTGATGGATAGCGAGTGCACAGCTAGAGCACGCTGCCTGTGTTTGGAGCAGATGGGCCTCCACACCGCTCTGCCCGGTGTCCCTCGTTCTTCATCTGCTGTCCCAGCCCTCCGAGCCACAGGAGCAGGAGGAGAACATTTGGAGTTGTTGTGCTCCCATGGCAGGGTGTTGTGGGATTTTTCCTGACAGAGTCTGGCTATCTGTTGAATTGTTTTCCACACTGCCTTGTTTTTGAGAGTCTCTTCTGCTTCTCTGTACTGGCTGGGTTTCAAGGACTAAGGAACGCATTTAGGAGGGATGCTGTCGGGATCTGTCCACATTATACATGGATTTCCTCTATGTATGTTTGTGGCTAAGATGGTCCCAAGTCTTAAAAAGAGTAAAGTTCTAACTTTATTTGTCATAGTTTTCTTGTTTGTGGTTATGGGCTTTTAGGCGAGGCTATAGATCATTTGCATTGAGCAGACCTTTTAACCTTTTGTGGGTAGTTTCAGTCAGCACCGGCAGAACTGTAGCAAGAATGGTTGCACCTTCTAATATTGGGCAAATGTCAGCTATTGCAAAACCATGGAATAACTGAAATTGATTATTTTGAATCCATCCATCGTTTTTCACAATGTATCCAGATGCCCTTAATTATATATAAGATATAACTTGGAATCATTGTTATGTACTGTACAGCTTGTAAACACTTGTTTCAAAGCAGTATTGTCTTCATTGTTTTTTCCATTATTGTTTTCTCCGGTGTTTCTGTGAAAAATGCATTTAATTCCACCACTTGGAATTAAGAAAGTCTTGCATTTCATTTGGTAAACCCTGCAGAAACTCTGGTGCCTTAATTAACCCCCACACTCCTTTCTCACCTGTAGATAACCTACCTGCCTCCCCCATGGGGAGAGTGCGAGTCAAAGGCTCTGGAGTCTGGGTTCTTCCAGGTCTACAGTGTGACCGCCTGCAGGATTGACTGTGAAACACGCTACATTGTAGAAAACTGTAACTGCCGGATGGTGCACATGCCTGGTAAGTGTCACTGGCCTGACTTCAACACTCACAACATAAAGAATAGAGCAAGTCAATACTGAATAAGATTGTGGCATTAAAGAAATGTGTTCAAATGGGCTGTATTTCTACATTCATCCAGCAAGCTCTCTTGAACTTGATGTTTAAACACTTAAACACATTGACTGAATTCCTCCCCTTTATAACTGTTTGTAGGTGATGCTTCGTACTGTACGCCTGAGCAGTACAAAGACTGCGCCGAGCCTGCACTTGGTAAGCCTGCACATACACACAAACCCATGAACATGACTTAAGACGACATTCATGCTGTATTTCCTGGTTTACATATCGTTATTTGCCTCAGAAAATATGTTTGGATAATCTTTTTTTCCTGTTGATACATAGCTTTAATGCTAAACCTGATGATGAGCAACACCGCAGAGCATGTTAAGCTTAAGACAGCTCAGCTCAAGAGCAGCGACAGTATCATCAGTAAATCCAAAGCACTGTAGTAGGAAACACGTCTTCTTTGGGAAGTTTGATAGCCACCATACTGTCACTCCTCTCCGTCCGTTATCATTTCAAAAGGAAATTACGCTGTCAAAAAGGGCTCTGCAGGCACACAAACGGTCTACTGGTAAGAGTATTTTCAGTATACTATCAATGGTGGAACCTACTCAAAGGAAAACTTCAGGATTTTCAACCTGGATCTTAATTTACCATGTGTTTGTCCAAGTGACTAATGGGGACAACCATTATTTTTAATTGTTACACTATCGAACAAGCAGCAGAAAAAGGTGCTGCAAGGTTATCTTCTCGGCCATTGAACTGAAATGTTTGTGTTTTCCACTGAGAGGCCCATGTGGTATTATAATTGTCTGACAATATTATGGAATTTTTTTCTCCAGTTTGTGTCTTATTAAATCTAGCCAGGGGGACTTTTTAGCAGAGAGACAACGGTGGAAGCATGTCACGACTGAATATGTTGCTGATTTTAACAATGTGCATAAAGCCTAACTCTTTCGCGAAACTTGGTTAGAGCCATAAACAAACAGACTGGAATCATTGTTATGTACTGTACAGCTCATACGGTGATTACAAACATTGAATTTCTCTGTAAGTTACTTTGTTTAATGTTGTCGGACCCTTCAATAACAATCTGAACCTGTCAGTCGCAAAAACAAGTATTTCAAATTACATACATGAAGTTAATCAATCAGTTTTCCTGTAACTTTCAAATGTATCAAAATAACAGAACGAATCTCAATAGTTCCCCTTGTGTGACTAGAGCTCATCAAGTCAGCTATCAACATCAGAGCAGACAGGGACTGCAGTGCAATGGTTGAAGTTAAGGGATGACTGGTCAGATAGATAATGCCTAATATTTCCGTCATTGAAGTCAATTAAACAACTGTATTAGAGGTCTTTTGGCAGCCTGTCCTCCTTTCCTTCTAATTCGAGTTTTTATGATACGTTTTTTTAAACTTGGCTCGTCCAGCTGTTTTAAGATATTGAACTGATATTTTCTCTGCCCTGATGTTTCAGTGTAAAGGTTTACCTGTTGTTGAAGCCTCAGACCATAGAGACACTAATGAAATAAAGATGAGATTAGTTTTTTTGTCTATCTAAATTAGAATCAATGGAAAGTGTTTAAAAGTCCAGAGGTATTCGCTGGATCACAAAGGGATGGATCTTATCTGCAGGACAATAAAAACAGTAGTTTTGTTACCTCAACCCAAAATAAGTTGTTTTGTTTGAATGCCAACCTTGAACATGTGTTTAAAATGACAATGTCAAGTTTCACTTTCACAACAGTTTGCCCTGTTTGAACCATTTCAATGGCAGTGATAACAACTAATGCCGGCCATTTAATAGGCTGATATCATTCAAAACGGGTACTAAAACATTAAACAATTCTCTCAGTGGTCTTCTCTTTTTCAGTAACATACTGTACATCTACAGTAACAAAGCCATTACACTACAGACCCTTTGTTCAGTGCAATCTCTTGTCTGGGGGACTCATTTCACATAAAAAAGCAATTGCACAGCCGTGGTTTATTAGGCAATGAGACGAGGCGAGATAATGTTTTAAGTTACCTTGACGTGACTCCAGATCTTCCAATATGTGTGCAGCCCACCGGAGCTCTGTATCAGAAAAAAGATGCATGGCTGTGAACACCGAGGGGGATAATAAAAGCATGAAATGGTATAATCGTGCAATACATCCTTCTACTGTTGCCGTGGCGATGAATAAATATGATCCGACGATTGGGTCCGACTCGGTCCAGTGCCTCCTTTTAGATGGCTTTCCTTTTTTCGAAATGTATTCAAGCCCATTGGTCGGTTTAAACCCTTTAAACAGTACACATGTTTTGGACTCGATGTCTTCCATGTGAATTACTGTGAGGGTAAAATATTATGAATATATATTATCTCGTAATCGGGGGAACTCTTTTAAGACTCTATATGACCCTGTTGGAAACGTAAGTCATAGCTCTATGATTAAAGAGACTAAAGGGACTCACTGAAGATTAATTCATTTTTCTAACATAATTATTAATAAATTATAGCATACTATAATATACAATACAGAATTAAAGCCTCTGTTACCCATATTATTTTGAACCTACTTGAAATGTATGATGAATAGAAGTCAGTGAAAACATAAATAATACATAAATAACAAATTGATTCAAAAGCATACTAAGTAACGTCTGAACTTATCAACTTCTGGGCAGTAGGAGTTCAAAGTTTCTTTCCTTCCACTACAGTCTCTCTGCTCTCTCTCCCTGCAGGGAAAATCAAGCTACAAAAGCAATGTAGTCAAGGGCAACAACATGTTCAGACCGTTAGCATCAAGGCTGCAGGCTCCCACACCATCAGGGCATTCAGCGTATTACAGCTGTGTGCTATTAACATGCGCTGCTGGATACCACGTTACACTGTGCAGCAGCGGGGGGGGGGGAGGCTTTGGTGCTTATTCCAGACAGCTTCCTTCCTCTCTTTTCCAATAATTGGCTTTATTTTTGGAACAGTAGGGGTTTCACAATCTCACACTCACTCAGTTTGAATCAGTGGTAGCAAATTAATTATTGTTTTAAACTCAGTGCCAATTTGCTTTACCCACAAGAGAACGATTCACTCTGCAAAGTTTGATTGGTTCTTCTGTCCTCATAGCTATGTCACTCAACTTTTGGAGACAGCACTGAAAATATATTTTTGATAGAAGACAGCTGTATCTGTTTTCTGTGAACAACTTGCTTATCTTATCGAAAAAAAGGGACATCTTAAAATAACCTAGACAGAATGGTTTCTTCTTAACCCAAACTTTTAGATAATTGTCTACCTCTCAGACAGATTTTTATTTAAAAGTAGAAAGTTGTCATGCATAAATATATTATGGTATTTTTTATATTTTTGATTTAAATGAGTGTGAGAGAAAACGAGAGTTACCTGGATAAAGAGAAAGACATCAATCATTTTAATGTACAAGGCTTTGCTCCTGTGTATCCAATAATGTATAATTTTAATACAAATTAGAGACCACTGAGAGGCCATATTGAATTTCCTATTGCTATTACGTGACTGTGGCCTCGCCGGCTATTAGTGCGCCGTAGGGAACATCTGCCTGGTGCTCTGTGCTGTGCAGGTCTGCCACAGACAGCTTTTCAGTAGGAAATACGCATAAAAACATTCACCTCTCATCTACATTCAGAGAATAAGGGTTGGTTGTAAAGGATTTTTAAAGAGAGGGACGTTTTCTTTAGTGAGAAATGACTCAGCATCTCTGTCGAAATTAAAACCTTCATATAAACTTTGCGATTTCATAAATTCAGCTTTAGAAAGGGATTTGTGAGGAGTAGGCAGCCTCGGTGCGGGAGAAGCTTTTGATGGAGCTATATTTGAAAAGCCTGTGTCGCTTAACATTACCGTCAGTGTGAGAAAGTTGGTGTTATGTAGAAGGCTCTGGGCTTAACACGAAATCATTCAGTGCATTTAAGTTTCTTTTCTTTTTCAAACTGCCAAAGCAGAGCCCTGAATAGAGCCTGGCATTTCTACATCAGGACTGTGTCTCTGTCAGGGTGAAGGCTGTTTTCACGGATGCTGCTTCAGGGCTTGTTTGTGTTTGGGCGCTTTACATTCTGTGACTTTGACAATGACATTGACTTAAACTGTCGTTCTGGCTTTTATGGAGTAGACATCTGCAAGACTATATGGGCGCAGTATGAAGGAGGCCATGTGTGCAATCATGGGTGTGTTCTGTATGCATGTGTACTTGTCTGTATGTACAGTATGTGTTGACTGAAAACAGGACGGATTACAGATCAAGAAAAGAGGTGCTAAATGCATTCTACCGTTTCTCTCAGAAGCCTGATGCTCCAAGCACAAAGCGGCAAAGCTTGAGGCCTGTAGTTTAGTTGAATGTGAATCAGCTGTCCAAATGCAAAGTTGTACAGCTGGCACTAACACACTACGAAGAGGTGGCTAATTAAAAGTAATTGACTGTGGATAGACTGTATCACACATTATCATAATTGATGTTGTTTCAGTTGTGGAAGTTCACTCTAGTCTTGCAGGTTAAACACACTTTTTACAAATTACTGAACCTATTTATCATTTTGTGCCCTCATAAATGTTTATATTAAGTTGCAAGTTGTGATTATTATATATTATAATATTTTTATAATACTTTTCATACACTGAATAGTTTATTCTTTTACATTTGAGAAATAGAGAAAAGGTGTAATTTTACTTCAAATTGACCAACTACCTATAAACGAAATTTCCAAATAAATACAAACTTATATATCCTCAACATTCAAAGAGCAAGATGTTTTATTAATGCATAAATGTATTTATTTTGTATTTGATTGAGATTCAAATGTGTTTAGAAGCTTATACTGACTCTACAGTTACCTTAAAATACACAAATGATTGTATTTATTTCTTACTGTATAGCTTCTCTTTCTAAGATGTCTCATTTTGTTTCTAAAAAAGCATCTATCCCTTTTGTTCATCATCCTCCACCAATCCTCCGACATATCATTCCAATTTACCCCCCAATTGTACACACCTCCCATCTCCATTGCCCCCTCCTTTGTAAAGCTAAACTCTCATCTGTAGAGAGCAATAACTGCCTCTGCAGGACGCCATGCAACATGACCCGCTACAACAAAGAGCTGTCCATGGTTAAAATCCCCAGTAAGACCTCTGCCCGCTACCTGCAGAAGAAGTTCAACAAGTCTGAGAAGTACATCACGTAAGTAGCCAGTAACAAACCACCAAGTGATGCTCTGGTTCTGCTCATTATGTCCGGTTGATAAGGAGAACTCCCTAACTGCTAATAACATAGACATAGTAAAAGACAACGAGTGTGAATCATTTCATCATCTCAGGAGTTCTCTTCTTACCTTCCCGTTTTGTATTCATTACTGATACGTTTTGTGGTGTTCCCCAAGGTTCTGTCCTGGGTCTGTTGGTTTTTTCTCTGAACATGCTTCCTCTCAGCCATTCATTTAAAAGATATACCTTTAATAATCAAGATGTTTCTATGGACCAGACTTTGAGTCTTGTCCCGAATGTCAATTGTTTGAATGTCTCTCTACCATATGGAACTGTTTTTTTATTGGTAAATGTCCTTCCTTCTTGAATAATGTAATTTACTTTGCACCTGCCTGGGCAACACTCACCAGTGGGTTTGTGCAGCCCCACGTCAGCAGCAGGCCGCTGCTGTCCTCTGTTTGCTCGGTGTTCCTTGCTCCAGGCTAAAGACTAAAGGAGTATGTGCTTTTGAGGTTGGAGCTCTTAAGCTTTAGAAGTTGCTCACATTGGTCTGAGGATTTGTGAACACTGTGGAGTCTTTTAAAAAGCAGCTCAAGATCCCTTTGTTTCGACTTGCTTGTTAAATGGCTCTAATGTTTTAAGCTAGAAGTTTGCATTTCAAGTCTGTTCTTTTTTTTTGCTGCATTTTCTATTTTGTCTTTTGTTGTGGAGGACTTTGTGACTACTGCTCTTGAAAATTGCTACACAAATAAACATAATTATGCGTATTTGGAATAAATGAATGCTTTGATTAAGATATAAATGAACAGTTGAAACCACTTGCAAACTGATAAGCAACAATTCCACCAATGGGATGTCTGAAGTGCCAGAAAACATTCAGATCCTTTATTCCCTCATGCTAATGGCAGATACATCATTGTGCAATTTAAAAACAATACTAATTCACAAAGATAATGATGTGTGGTTTCTCGTAAATTCCAAGCAATCTTCGTTGATTTAGTTTTTTACAAAAGCATACAAGTAACTATAATTTTGGGTGAGGCACAATGAGTGCAGCTGATCATATTTTAGACTATTGTTCAACCACGTTCATTCAGTTTGAAAACACTAACCCAAGCAAACATTCATATCAACCACCAATTCAGAGTCTCTGCAAAGTCTCCAAATGACCTTGTGGAAAGCTGAGCATCTGAGTGATCAGACATTTAAAGGGGAACTCATACAAACTGACCACAGAGAGGATCTTTCATCCTCTTTGCTGACAACATTGTCTCATATAGGCCTTTTAATTAAAAACTTTAAATACTGTTATCCCTATGAAAAGATGAGCTACTGTGAGCTTGTCCTCCGCCCACACATTGGCTGTGTTTCCTTGCCTGCTCAGCTTGGTAGAAAATGGATAGACTGTTGCTGATTGTGTTGCTTGCCAAGTCATCACTCGGTGTAGGATTCATTAGGATTAATGCCCAACTTATACCTTTGCAGAGACAACATCTTGGTGTTGGACGTGTTCTTTGAGGCTTTGAACTACGAGACCATCGAGCAAAAAAAAGCTTACGAGGTCGCTGGCTTGCTGGGTAAGATTCATGTTACCTTTTTTTCCAAACCTGAATTCAGTCTACTTCAGTCATGCTACTTTTACAATTATTGAATGAATAAAAGGAAATTGCCCACCTTGGCAGCAGATTTGGATCAGTAATATATAGATGCCTGGTTGTAAGGTCATGGTGTGTGTGACCTACAGTTATCAACAAAATGTTGGCTCCGTGAAATGTTGTGATTTTGCTAGCACTGAGCTGCAATTGATAATTTGTTATAAAAGTTGTAACAACTATAAATAAAAAGCCAAAAATGAACAGGGACACAGACAGCAGTTAGCCAAAGTGAAGCATGAGCCATTCAAGCTAATGGTCAACAATAGATAGAAAAAAGCCAAAATAAAGCCATAGTTATGGCATTACCAGTTCATTTGAGTGGGGTCGTAAAAACATGGGTAGGGTCTGGGTTTGGGTCTCAGCTGTAGACAAAAAGCTATTATGTTGGCTTGTTGTTCTCAGGAGACATTGGTGTTGAGTCTAAATGTGTTTTTGCTGTGGCCAATTATTTGCATTTCACTTTTTCTTGCCCCACAATTATGTTGAGGTGTACTGCACTACAACAACTTGAAATCTTGCCAAGTATATTTGTCTAATTTCTAGTCAGAATATGTCTTTACACTTGATATAAGATAATAATAATAATAATATATAATATCTTCAGAAGTAACACTGCAGTGAGATATCGGGTCTTGTTTTTAGACAATGCATCATCTTGTTAAGTGAAAGAATCTTATTTTGAGTTGTATCTCAGATGAAACACATCTTTTTTTACATGTTTATTAGAAAATCACCAACTAACATCAGAAAACAGAAAACTTTTGAGCATTTGCAGCTTATATTGTAACACAGAATTTCCTAAATCTGGTCAAGATCTGATTTATCTAAATATCCCATCTTATTTCAAGAAATCTAACCAAGCTAATTTTCACTTGTTCTATTGGCAGATTTGTGTACTTATTTCAAGTGAAAACAGCTTGTTTTCATTATTGTTTAACTTGTTTTTGGAGCAGCATTTTATCCAGTGTGTCATACAACTTTTGCTAAATGATCAAAGTCTCAATATATAAGTTATTTTCCTCTATTCTTCTTTACACTTCTCCTGTGGCTGTGTCCTTCTACAGGTGATATTGGAGGCCAGATGGGTCTGTTCATTGGAGCCAGCATCCTCACTATCCTAGAGCTTTTTGACTATGCTTATGAGGTCAGTCTCAAGTTGCTATTTTCACCGCACTGTTAAATCATCGAATTACACCCACACACAATCCTCTACAGGCTCTCACAGCTTTTGTCTGTACATAACATTTTCAGAGCACCTGTTTTATGGTTTTGCAGTGAAGAGCTATTGCCTTGACCATGAAAGGTGACAACAGAAACAAAGTCACTAATTCAAATAGCTGATACAAGAGCTATATATTTACTTCAAAGGCGGCTGAGATGAAAGAAAGTGTGCTCGTGTTTTTTCCATTACCTTTGCTTTACTGTCTGGCCCTCTTTAGAGCTTGCCACGCTGCACAGGGTTCTGACAGGCACATGATAGTCTTTGTCTCCCCTAGGCTTATAGAAAATATACAAGAAAAAGTGGTTTTCTTTTTTTATTACCATAAAGAAGTCATCGGGAGATGATACCCTCATGTTGATGACAAACGCAGCTCTAAGGCTTAATTTAACAGCTTAAATGACGTTGCCATATCAACCTCCTCATTTATTTTTACTTTGGGCTCAAATGTTCCTGTGCAGTCATTAATTACAAGTTGAGTTCTCGAATATCAGACTGAGCTACGCCTATTGACATTTATTTTCCCGATCTACAGGTGGTAAAAGACAGACTGTTGGATTTACTGAGCAGAGAGGAGGAGGAGGAGAGTCATGGAGAGGATGTGGTAAGAGCGACCTTTAACCCCTCACTTGTCAATCTTTCTCACAGAGTGCTGTGTAAGTGGAGCGTGTAGATACATTGTTATTTCACACACTCTGACCATGCATATCAAACCTTGCCCTATCCTTACCCCTCCACCCAAGCATGCAGAAAGAGCACCCAGGCAAATAGAAGGTTGTGTGCAGAGAGACAGTAGCAGGACAAATTGGCTATTTGGAGAACCTCTTAAAAAGTGAATACAGAAATTAGGACTCTGATGGAACTCTTAACAAACACATCCGTCAACATCTGAGTTAAATCATCAAAACTCAAAGCTCAGCAAAAGGAGAAGGTTGGGATGGCATTTGCATGACGTAATGTGCAGGTCAGTTGGTAAGAAGTGTTAGGATGGTCAAATAATGTCACTGGACATCACTTGTAAGCGTGTGGCTAAGTTAGCTGAAAAGGTGAAGGAGCCAATGGAGCAGCTGGAGATTCAGTGGCAGCACCCTGTTAAAAACACACAAATAAAGTCATTTAAAAAAAATAACTTTCTCCCAACAAAGGACCAAAATACATCCACTAAGATCAGTGGATTTGTTTGCGCAAAGTGAACTACTCTCATTTTATACGTCCACTTACTGCTAAAATGTAAAAAATAAAAAATACAGGTTATTGTGTCATATTACCATGGCAGCATATTAATAACTTAATAACGGTCATGGCGTGCAGAAGTCGACCATTTTTTGTTTTAATGTAGTCCGATGACTTTTTTATTCTGTTAACAACCATGCATATTGCCAGCTAGTTTTCAGCAAGCTGCCCAGCCTATTGTATCCGTTTGACCAAATAAAGCCCACAGAGGCTGGAGTTTACAGAGCTGTGCAAACTCATGACAGGTTCATACTCTTCCTGTTAATGACTTGTTGTCTTTCTTCTAAACTGCATTTGTTCCGGATAACCTTATGCTTAATGAGATAATGCTTTTATTAGTATTCAGAGATTTCAAAGCTCCTATCGTTGCTGCAATTGGAGACTTTTGGGTCATTTAACCGGAATTAGCAAAGAAAGTACAATACACGCCTTTTCATTCTTTTCCCAGAGTTCCTGTGACCCTGTGGCAAACCACTCGGAGTCCATCAGCCACACTGTGACCGTCCCCCTGCAGACAACGCTGGGCACCCTGGAGGAGATTGCCTGCTGAGGCCCTCCCCCCCGCCCCTCAGAGCCCCACACATCCAAAGGCTGCCTCCACTGGGTGGCGCTACATAGGGCAACCTGCAGGACCCTAACAGGGGGGGGAGGAGACGAGGACAAGAACAGGGGGACGCTGCGCTCTGTCACACCGCCCTATCTGAGGCACTAATGGGGATTAAAGAGCTGTCGGCTGGACTTATCAGCCCTCTCTGTCACCCTGCACTGTACTCTGGTGGGACGGTAGCCTCCGCTGGGCCAGACCTGCAGTGGGGTCTCCACATAGACGCACACGGAAAAGCAGAAACTGGGTGGGCTGACTTCCCACAATGGGGTTCTCCCCTGTGCAGCATATCCATGTTACAAACACATTCATATGTCGCTCACTGCCAAATGAACTGTACAAAACTGGTTTTGAACTGCATGCATCTATCGATCTATCTTGCTCTCTTTGCTGATGCTGGACTGCAGTGTTGCTTTACTGTACATGTGTGCCATTTGTCTCTCTCTAACTGCAGGACAGGCCTGTGAAAGGGCCCAGGTGAGATATCAACTTAGAATGTACAGATTGAACATATGGTTGTTGGAAATCATAGTTCAGATGTGACCAATCCTTCAAAAAACGATTCTAATGAGCGATGTATCATTTCTGATCCCAAGGTAGAAGGTGGTTGGTGATGTATGAGCAGGAAAAAAACACCGTTGCTCTCTGAAAATAGTAAACTCATTATGCAGGCAGCATTTTTATTTTCACCTGTCAGTTTCAGTTGAATCAGTTTACTAAAAGGCATGTTTTCTACCTGACTGCCGGGGTGTTAAACTGTTCCCCAGAGACATCTTTAAAGGGATGTCATACACTTACTGTTCATTTATGTGAATACATGACTTGCTGGCTTCTGGCTGCTGCACCCAAAGCAGCACCCAGCTAAGAGGTGGAATCTGAATTTATTTGCCTGCCAGAGAGCAAGCTGTGTAGAAAATGTTGCATCGAATAAATATGCGTTTTTGAACAGTTTTTCATTAGCAGAAGTCAGGGTAATGTTTAAGACAGCTCATACCTCTTTATCAAAGGTGGCATCATATTGTCCTTCACCAATAAAGAAAAAACATTCTGGCAATTAACAAAACAATAAACAAAAGCACGATGGGTTCAGCCAGGATTAGGTAAGGATACAGGATCTGCTGTGATATGGTGTAAATATCTGTGTTCTGTTTTTTTCTCATAAAAGCAGGTACATGTCCGAAGCAGAATTGTTCTAAAAAAAAAAAAGGTCCAGAAGTGACTTCACATTTGTCATTTTGTTCCTTAATGTTACTCTCTCAGTGGTTGAGGATGTTACCTAACAGGCAGTAGCATTTTGACGGTTGTTGAATGTCATGCTAAAAATGGAAGACACACTTTGCTGTAAGCACCTGAACCTCTCTGAACTTTCTGTGTCTTCAGAAAAAGTTGCATATATACGGCTTTACACCAAAAGCTTGTGTGAGAATATGTGGAAGATTTAGTGTCCATGATCATCATAGCTCGGTCTCTGTCATCATGGTTATGTACATTACAGGTAGGAATGAATTCAAGTGCTTTGTGAGACTGTTTGAATTATGATTTCCCATCTGTGGCTCAACGTGCCGTCTGTGTGTATCTCATGTTGTCGCTTCAGATGAACACAATCTTCAGCCTGCGGGGGGGGCGAGACAAATGTGTCTCACTTCTCGTTCTGATAACGACACCGGCTGATTTCTCTCTCTATTTTGGCTTCAATTGTTATCGCAGGACAGCTTTTTCTCATTTTGTGATGCAGCATACATTGTGTGTTTTTAATGTGAAACATTTAAATAAATAAAAGGTTGTTTTGCAATGTGTGCGTCCAGTTGTGGCATGGCAAGATTATGTTTAATGCAACTTTCAATAATAAGGACAACAAAACATAATGCAATAATAACACAAGACAATATAACAAGACCAATGTGTCTTTCACATGTGCAGTCGATAACTGAAAACAATGGCTCGAAATTAGACGCCTTAATTAAAGATATCTTATGTATAAATGCAATTGGCCTTTCCCCCTCTTTTTCTTCCTCTGCTGAGTTCCATGCAGATTTAAGAGTACACAGCCAACTGTGAGGCTTAAAACTAACATTAGCATGCAAACATGCCTACCTTGAAATGGCTGACAGGCTGACGGGTAGCAGGTGACATGTTTATCATGTTTACCATCTGAGTGTGTCAGCAAGCCAACGTGTATTAATTAGCACTTTGAAACTGATGGGAATGTCCTTAGTTTAGCAGATCATTTGTAATCAACCAAAGTCACAAAAAAGGCCTCAGGATACCAAGAGATGAAAAATCCGGGGATATATTACCATCCGACCTCTACAGCTAATTCAGAATGCTGCAGCCAAACTGGTCTTCGACCTCCCCAAGTTCTGGTAGCCTTCCGAGTTGTGCAGGGATCAGCCAATTCCTACATGCAGGCCTTGGTTAAACTATACACTCCAGCTTGCTACTCCATCACTGCGAGTGGGACCCAGGTACCCCTCAAAAACACGCCTGTTTGCTATCCTGGCTCCTCAGTGGTGGAATCAGCTCCCCATTGACATCAGGACAGTAGAAACTCTGCATATCTTCCTTCGCAAACTGCAAACTATGATAGAAAACCGACCTGTTTCGATTGTACCTTGGTAATTAAATTATTGGAAATAAAATGTAATTAAAAAAGCACTTAAAAAGTTAATTTAGGCCTTGTTACTAATTCACCAGCACTTACTTGTATGACTTGAATTTCTATGGTTTTTGTACTTATTTTAAATTGCTTGGATAAAAGCGTCAGCCAAATGTAATGTAATGGGATAAGTCACGTTTTTGATGTAGTATATTCTGAAAGTGAGTCAGACGCGTCTTGTCGCGTCATGTCATCCTGATGGAGCTGCTACAGGAAAAGTCGGGAGGAATTATCCTTTGGGAAAATGTAAGTCTGCAGCATTTCCCCATATCCACTCTTTACCAAAATATTTGAACTTACAGACATAACAAGACTAGTGATGCTGCATTGAAAGAAGGAATAAGATGGGATGTATTTATCTCAAATTAAGCTGTATGAACATAAAAATAAAAAGGGTGCAGTATAGTGCACGATACGAATAAATAGCCCAACATGTATTCTAACAAAATGCAGTGGCAAACAGAAGTGTTTTGAAGCCTCAATTAAATAAATATTAGAGAGTTGGAGTGAGTGCAGTCATCCCCGGCAATGTGTCATGTCTTGGAAGCTTTTTCAAGTGAACAGAGTCGACACAAAGCACCTGAAAACCCTACATAAAGAAACTGGACAAAAACTAGTCATGCTGGGTCAAATGTACAGTTTCTTGTCAAGGTACAATTTCCATCCGGTGTTCATGCTACGTACCCTTTATATTGTCTGAAATGTTCTCTTATTCAGTTTCACACAGCAGCACGCACAATGCACAATGGATGGAGTCACGCCACAGCAGGCTCAATCAGCTTGAAACCTGATTGAGCCTGCTGCTCCATGAAGCTTTGCAGCATATAGGAACATCCTATAGCAACAGCAGAGGGCACTGGCACTCAAAAATAGTTATCTTCTCTGCACGTACAGTATGAAATTACATGTGAATGAATGACTGCTAGGAAAAGATGACATTCAACTTGAAGATTGGCTCAAAAGCAGAAGCAGGAATGACGGTAATAAATGGATGTACTATGTGCTCTAGTTTTCAGAGCGGGAGTTTCAATTTCTTTAAGTTAAATATTGTAGAAAGTTATTCTGGGTTTTTGGTTAACTTCTCTTGTTATTCTACACATTGCCACAGACTCTTATCTGGAGCTGCTGTAGGCTGGGAGTTTATCCTCAGTTCAGTCTCAGTTCAGTCTCAGTTCATTTAGCAGATATTTTGGCAGAGGAAATTGCCTGCAGGTTAGCCATAGTGCATCAGCAACTCATTGCAAACAGACTGGATGCCTTTGCAGAGAGGGAACTCACACACAGCAGAAGCTTTACAAGTTCTTTAAAGAGAATTGTATAAACCATAAGATCTAATACTCCTGTGTGTTTTGGAATCTATTTCGAGAGAAAAATGCTCATCCAAATTCACAAAGTTGAATTTGGGTGTGTAAATAATGTAACAGTCCAACAAGTACCAAAAGCCCTACTAAATGCAGGCGCACCGATAATTCAGGCCTGCTTTTGTATGATTCATGTTGTATTAGTGTTTCTAACAGAGGTATTTGTTGAAGATTTGTAAGGGTTTAACATCCGCTTTTCCAAAAGCATGCTCATGGCATTATAAGCACAACAATTGGTTTCTATCTCAATGAAACACATAGACTGAAACATCTCTGTGTCTCTTCAGCTTGCCTCTGATCTTATAATAACATTTACTTGCAAAAACTGTGGAAACTACACTGCAGCTAACTATTAGTTTCATTATCGATTAAATTGTCGTTATTTTATTATTTGTTCTATTATCCATGAATAAATACATTGTTTATAATGAATCATCAAAATAGTTGAGTTTTCTGTTGACTAACTCATTTAATCTCTAGTGCAACTTTTATGAAACAATTACTTTGACTGTAACGTTGATGTTAATCTTATTTACCTCAAGCTGTTTTATCCTATGTAGGACAGGCCACTTGCTCCTCTGCTCATGAACTTAACTTTTAGGATTTGTTTGTTGGCATGTTAGCCGAGACAAAAACTCATTTGAATAAGCTGGAAACGAGAGTCCTAATTTGTTGCAGATTTCACATCAGTACATCAAAGAAGCACATACTTTATCCCCTGTTTCCTTTGATCAAGGTTCAATATGTTCTGCTTGAACAGATCATTTGCCAAATATTTGTATTCACGGTCAATTTGACTCAACATAACTCAGGAATAGATTGTGAAGCTGCACCGAATACATCGACACAATATCCACTTCAAGCCAACCTGAGGCGGTGTTACAGCAACATTGTCAAATGAAACGGTATAATAAGATCCCATAAAAACTCCCACAAGTTTAATATTTTAAGAAGTCAGAATTAGTTTTTGGAAAACATTTTAGTTTGGGCATGCTACTATTTACATTGTGAGTTTAGCTTATACATTTGGTTTATTCCATCATCCGCCGTTTCTACAATATGTTTCACCAAAAAGAACAGGGCTAAAACCTTTGTCTTTTTACTGTTAGGATATTATATTGATTTCTTTCTATAAATAACAACAGCATGTTTTTAAGTCAAAGAACAGAACATGAAATTGAAGTTTGATTTCATCTTCTAAACTTCGCAGATAATCACATGCTTTTATACTCCACATTCATGTTAGGGAGAGTAATGCGACAGTGAAAAAAAGGAAAGATAATTGGACTTTGAACAAAGATAAAATCGTACATTGACATTAAGGCAGTCCCTAAAGAGCTGAGTGAAGTACAGAACATGTCAGGCAGAGAGATTGAATGGGAGGCTTCATTTCTCTTCTGACAAAGTGGATTTCTCCATTGTCCAACCTTCAATACAGAAATCATTTCCCTCCTGATTTATTGGAAACCTTTGGCCACCACCTCAATCTCTATTATTAAGGCCATGCAAATGTAATATAAAAAAAGAGAAATTTGTGACATAATTGCATTTCCAACTCAAACATACACCAAAGGTTTATACTCCACCATACTGAATTACATGTGTATGCATCTAGACAGTATATTTACTGAATTCAATTAGAATATAGTTTGTTTTCCTAGGAACACCATGTGCCCTCAACAGAACAAAGTAACAGACATGACAGCAATATTTTATTTCACGCAGACATTTACTGGCCATGACCTGGGGCTGATTCATAATGAATTACCTGACGACTGTGTTTATTGCTTAGGAGAGTTGATTACCAATTTAATCACAAGCCACAGATTAACCAGAGCGCAGTTGCATTGTACTCCTAAAGAGCCCTTGGGAAATTAGTGCCAATTGTAATAGTTAACTTTGCTAATAATCCACTCCGCTAATGCAACGTCACCTGACCGACTGTCGTGTGTCAACACTTTGGAGATCCTTCGCGATAGTTTTAGTACCACGGTGTGTCATAATAATTTCTGAAACCTCAAATGGTCATGGCCTGATGAGCTAAAGCCCCGTACAAATTCCCTTAAAGGGATTTACAGGAAGACTTTGAAAGTGAAGTTCTAAATGTGTGTGTGTGTGTGTGTGTGTGTGTGTGTGTGTGTGTGTGTGTGTGTGTGTGTGTGTGTGTGTGTGTGTGTGTGTTTGTGTGTGTGTGTGTGTGTGTGTGTGTGTGTGTGTGTGTGTGTGTGTGTGTGTGTGTGTGTGTGTGTGTGTGTGTGTGTGTGTGCGTGTCGTCTGTGCGAGGCTGGTCATGCTGAAAGGCTGTGATGCCTGTTAGTTGCAGACACCTCGAGGTGTCCTGCTGACCGTCCAGCAGTGGCAAGCTTTGATTGAATGTCCAGGAGCCAGCGACGTGCAGTCAGTGGAGGCAGGGGAGGCAGAGCCTCACCTGTCATACTCCAATGTAACGGAAAAACAACTAAAGAAAAACGAAATAGTAATAATAATAAAATGTCTCCACTGATCTGTGTTGTAAGTGTGATTTATGTATGATTCTAATCGCTTTTTATAGTCAAAATCAGCAAATTTGCCGAACTCCGCTACGGGAGCGATGAGAAGTGAGGCAGGGACGAGCACTGCCTCTCGTAAGCCCACAGTAACTTGCTGGAGCACGGGCACTAATTTAGCGCGGGCACTTATTTTGTGAGCGCGCTCAAGCCAGTTACTGTGGAGTCAGGTGAGGCACAGATGAGATCTGCCTCACCTCAGAATGCGTCACCCCACAGAAA